CAAGAGCTGTCTGGTTGTTCATTCCATTTCGCAATGGAATCACTGTTTTATCTTGAAGCTTGAGTAGCACGATGAGAAAGATATATAAAACTGGCAACACAAGTTTGCTAGATGTTTCATATCCTAACCATTATAATCACGTGAAGGATGATGCCTTTCTTTTCATGTGCTCACATTATCCATCAAGGGTTCTCCAGAACTTCCTAACGATCGATACAGTACTCGTCTTTTTTCGCTTAGAGAGTGGAAGATATGTAAAATATAACGAATATATCTAACTATACTTTCATTTATGATTAATATGGAACGGTGAATTCACAATTCTGCCTTTCTGAGCAACCACAGATACCGAAATATATCCCTAATGTTTCAGCAAATAAACGCATGAGCTTTAACCCTTGAGATAGGCTCTATTAATCTGTCTTTCTTGAGACCTCTAGGAGGAACGGTGCAATTGATTTCCGGCAGAACTTTGTCCCATTCGTGTATGGTGTAAAACCAGCTCACGATTCAATGCACTCTGAGACTTATAAGTGCAAAGCGGGACAAAATGGAACCGGTTCTGATTTGCGTTCGTTATTTACACAGCGTTGTATACACTTAATGATCATTTATCCTTCTTCATAATTTTGGAGCCTTAAATGGGCGATTTTGCACTCATCTTGATTCTGATGTATAAGAGAAATCACAAGATTTTGAGGATTGCAATGCGGTCTGGTGGTTTAGGCCATTATGTAGACAGTCCACGACAGTTCCACTTTGTTCCCTGAACAATTGTTGCATCCAGAGACTTAACAGCCTGCTACTGCTAGGGCTGCGCCACACGGAAAAACCTCATCAGCCCGGAAACAGGACGTGAACTGTACAGAAAATCAATCTTTCCGCAAATCCTCCTGCCTTGAAGTATCGTTTCTTGTTTTGGTAGGTATTGTTTAATACCTGCGTTGCTGCTGTACTCAGTAAACATAAGTCTGCTGAGAGCAGAGAGATGCCCCTTCCTGTATATCATTAATAAATGCCGAATACAAAACAATGATGATGTTTATAATCTCGCATCGATGGTGAATACCGACTTCTTGGAAGCAAAATCAGCTGAGATTCATAGAATACAGCCATTTGTTCTGCTGTACCACAAATTAGACGGTGATATGGGATATAAGAAAGCTGGACTCCTTCGACCACTGATGTTCACGAATCATCTCGCTGATACGATTTATTAACTATATGTTAAGCGTTACACTTCGTATCCATTGCAACATAATCGTGTGTTTATTCTCCTGATGGGCAACTGTGGAGTTATCCACCTTACAGTATCACTTTTATTACACTGAACGCCACCTTGATCTCTGGATGTCACCGGAAAAGAGATGGACAAGTGATGATTAAGAACTGGTGGGAAACTGTTAAAATTTACGCTCTACTTACCTCTGTACCAGTGAGGTAAGGCTACAAACGGTTGAAGAAAAAGGGAGCAAGTTTGTTGGTGAACATTGCGCTTGATTGACAGCGGTG